TTTTGTGTTCTGTGTTTGTAAGACTTTTCTATATGTAATAAGAGATGTTTGTTGAACAGTTGGTTACATAAGAGTTACATTTATTTCTTCTTCCTTTATTCAGTAATGTTTCATCTCCCGTAGTATCCCTGTAAGGTACATATTATACAGGAAGGGGGATTATGGGATGGATCTCGGGCTGCAGTTCCTCTGAACTCCACAAGGTGCTGATCTCACCTATACTCACACAGGAAGTCTCTATGGAATGCAGACAGGAAGTGATGTCAGGTACAGACAGGAAGTGATGTCAGGTACAGACAAGGAAGTGATGTGACAGGGGAAGGACAAGCATATCAGGAGACGTTGCTGGACGTGACAGCAGAGGAGGTAATAAGATGTTTTTTTTCCTATTTAACCCCCGTCATCCTCCGTCCTCTCCACCTCCACAGTCTCTTCCTCCACAGTCACGTCCGTCACGTCTCCTCTTCCTCCTCACGTCCGTCACGTCCGTCCTCCGTTCCTCCATAGTCACCTCCACGTCACGTCCGTCCTCTTCCTCCATAGTCACGTCCGTCCTCTTCCTCCATAGTCACGTCCGTCCTCCTCCTCCATAGTCACGTCCGTCCTCTCTTCCTCCATAGTCACGTCCGTCCTCTTCCTCCATAGTCCTCCATAGTCACGTCGTCCTCTCTCCCTCCATCCAGTCATGTCCCATAGTCACGTCCTCTTCCTCCATAGTCACTGTGACGTCTTTTATCTCCAGCAGATGATGATACACACACATATATAGTGTGGGAACCCAGATGAACCCCTTCAGGGGCAGAACATTCCCCCACTTCCGGGGCCGGAACATTCTCCTCATTGTGGAGATAAATTCTAGTAATATGGTCCTCTAAACAAACAGCACTGACAATAAATAGACAAGACAAGGACCATCCTGACCATACATGGCCTACAAAGGGCAATGATGACACTACACAGGCAGCCAATGGGCAATCATTACACTATGCAGCCAACACAATGATGGAGTGCCGGGGTCAGGAGTATGGAGCATAGAGCCCCTTACATTGCTGCTCAGGAGGAAGGAAACATTCCTTTGTAACAGAAAATGTATATAAATCTGAGGCTCTTTTAGGAATGTCCGGGGGGGGGTTAAAGAATGAAAGGGGCTTTGGTGTCTCCAGACCAATCAGGTTTTATCCCGGACAGATTTATCAGTGACAACATTCTCCTTACATTACACATTAGTCAGGAGCCAATTTGCACTCCAGAGAAGTTTTGTTACTGAGTTTGGACACTAATAAGGCCTTCGATGGTGTCCTTTGGCCTTGTTTTCCTGGGTGCAGAGAATGGGTGTCAGTGATGAGTGTTTATCTGGTATACTCGCCCTCTATGACTCTCCCATAACAAGGATCAGACTTCCCGGCTGTAACTCTGACTTTGTTACATTGGGTAGAGGTACCCGTCATGGTTGTCCTCTGTCATCCCTATTGTTTGCACTGGTGTTGGGACCTTTGGTGATTGCAATCAGATCACATTCAGACATCTCTGGTTACCCTTTATTGGTTTCCTTTCAGAATCTGTATGTATGCTGATGATGTCATGCTTTTCCTCACCAACCCGTTAGTATCATTGCCTAATCTATGGGCGGTATTGAACGACTTTGCTCTAGTGTCAGGTCTGTTCATGTCACTAAATCAGTGGTTATGCCATCAATGTTCCTGATTCCTGAGTGCCTCTCTCCGTAGCTCTTTTCCATTTCGTTGGGCCACGGATCGGATTTCCTATTTAGGTATCAACCTCACTCCCAGATACTCAGATATGTTTGCTGCTAATTACCCCCCATGTGTGTGCCCTCTCTACTCTACTGAAGGTTTGCCATGGGTACCCCATCTCCTTCCTGGGTAGAGTCACGGCAGTCACAATGAATATTCTGCCTAAACTACTTTATCTATTTACATCACTTCCAGTCTCCGTCTCGGAAATGTTTCTGGATCGCTTTCAGCGGCTGATTAACAATTTATTTGGTGTAATAAACGTCCACGTTTTACCTCATCGGTTTTGTACCGGTCACAACGGACGGGGGGGCCTCGGTCTTCCCAATTTTTGGCTCTATTACCTTTCAGCGTGTTTTGCACAATTATCACAATGGGCGACTGTTAACTCCCAGATCCCGGGGGTCAGATTTGAATCTCAATCTATACGCCCATTTTATTTACCGGGTATTTTATGATCCAAAATCCTCCCTCGATCGTTAACGTTTTTCTAACTCTGTTGTGGCCATTCATTGACACTTTGGTCTCGATGGAAACTTAAATGAAATCTGGTCTCTTCTGTTTCCCCGGGTGTATCGTTTTTTGGTGACCCTAACTTTAGTACAGCATTTTCTTCTCCTCAGGCGTTTCGTTGGTGGTACGATAGATCCTTTATTAGGTTGTCTGACTGTCAAAGTGGAGGATCTTATATTCCCTTTGATATGATGTGCGGACTTTTTGATGTTCCGCTTCGTGAATATCATCGTTATCCACAGATTAGACATTTTTTTAACTCACATTTTGGCCTTACACCTTCATCTCCGATTTCTGAACGTGTGAACGTATCCCGTGACTCTCCCAGGGGCAAAGGTCTTATCTCTGATCTGTATCACCAATTCCTGGTCAGTCTCTCTCCCTCACCTCCTTTATAGAGACAAAAATGGGAGGAGGATAGTGGTATCACCTTTTCGGATGAGGATTGGGATTCCATGGTGGATAACATATGTAAGAGCTCTCAATCTCTTTCTGTCCGTGAGACGGCCCTCAAGGTATTAACCAGATGGTATTATACCCCGTCAAGGCTACACGTTTTGTACCCACAAACGTCCCCGTTATGTTTCCGGGGCTGCGGCCTCACCGGTACTTTGGTACATACGTTGTGGGCTTGCCCAACTTTATCCTTGGTGTGGGCAGGATATCTGAGTTGGTGACTTCACTGGTGGGTGTTCCGGTACGTCTGACTATACAGTCTTCCTATTGGGAGCTCGTATCCCGGGGGTTCCTGATAATGTTATGACATTGATACATACTATTTGTATTTCTACTTTGTGGGCTATCGCCCTACATTGGGAATCTATCACGGTACCATTGGCCTCTGTATTACATAGAGTAGATGCTGTGATGCTCATGGAGAGAATTCATTATAACTTACTGGACAAGATGCACTTGTCTGATAGAAAATGGGAATCATGGAAGGTTCAGAGACATTTACTACATGAATAGTGGCATTCCATGTGAAGGTTGATTGACGTGTCCTGTTCACACATATATCATTCAGTCTACTTTTCCTTTATATTTCTCATGTACTTAGGATCTATTCTCCTTTCCTTTCTCTTCTTTTTTACCCTTTCTATATGATGGTGTCTTTCTGAATTGTACGATTCAAGTGTGCCTTGTTAATACTGTACACATTGTTTGACGCTGTACTGTTATTTTCAGTCTACTCTTTGAAAAATAAAATCTTTTGTAAACAAAAAAAAAAATGAAAGGGGCTTTATAGCAACTTAAATGTGAATATGTGTAACATTGCGCTGTTTATCTCCTCCTCCCCTCCCCCGCCTGTCTCCAGCACCACACCCGGAATAGCAGGCAGAGACCCTTCCGATTGGCTGCTCCTCAGGAAAGGGGAGTTTCCGGCTTTACTGAGCTGTTTTTGCATTTTTTGCACATTTAAAAAATCATTTTATCCCTGAAGATGACACAAAACCCCCAAAATATCGTTTTCTAAAGTAGAGACTTTAGAGAATGCCAGTTCTAATTTTTTATGTCACAAAAATTATCACAAAGTTTAGTTATTTTTAATTTCAGGGCACAAAAAAGCAATAAATGACCCATTTATGTGTAAAAATATAAAAGCCGAGGTTGCAGCGAGTAAATAGATATCCAACATGTCAAACCTTAAGTTGTGTGTGCTGAAATGGTGACAACCTTTAGTCCCCGGTATTATCTATAGGGGACACATTTATAGCCCCTTCTAGGTCATCAGTATAGAGTACGGAGGAGGTCTGCTCCTAGAATTATCCTCTCATTCTGGTGTGACCGGCGATATGTAACGTGTATCACAATCAATGTTATCACGTGTAGGCCTCCAGCGTGTGCTCTTATGTTTGGGTGTGCATATATGTGGGGGGTGGGGGGAGCCTCAACATTTTTTAAGGGGAGGAGTTATGTACTTGGGTGTAACTTTAATTGTTTACAATTAAAAAAACATTTTTTACTTAAGGGGACAAAGTCCTCTATGTGATGACTTTGATGACAGGTTCTCTTTATTGAGACATCCAGGGTCTAAAAGACCCCCAATGTCTCCCCTGTACTCCATTGGATGTAATGTAGTGCACATCGCACCGCATTACATTCTTTGCCGGCCTCGATGGTCGGGAAATCTGTCATAACGTCGGTTCTGGGTCAGGACAAGAAGGGAGTGAACATGTCCGCTCTCCTCCATCCCCTCTACCCTCCGACACCCGCTGACCCGGGCCCACAGATGGGCAAGCAGAGCCGGGGAAGCATAGTAGGTACAGGAGAGGTTCACACACACGGGGTGGCAGAGGCTGGCACCTGAAAGGAGAGCCCTGCGGCTTGCCCTCAGCAGGGATAAAGATTAAACACAATACTTGCCCGGCCCCCAGAACTACATGTCCCGGGCGTCGGGTGATGTAAAGTGACCATCCCTGCATGATGAGCCGACATTGACCTCACAGCACTGCCTCAGAGCAAACTAGTCATAGGAAGGATCAGATTTATCATTCCTTGTCTGCAGATCTAATACTCATCAAAACCAGTTCAGAGACCAAACAAACCCAACAGAGAAAAGGGGCCCCGGACCTCAAAATTGTAGTAAACACTAAACAGTCAAAACAAAATGTCTTCCCATGGGGGGGGTAGTCCTTCAATGTCCAGCAACCCTCCTATTCCCCCCTCACATCCACATCCTATTATTGTGTGACCAATACCATCCAAATCATTCTTACTTTCATTTCCCCAAAGTTATCCGTCTACAAGGAGACCTGTATAGATCACATGATGGCACCAATGAGGATGGAGGAGGACCGGAGTCACATGACTGAGAAGATACTAAACCTCACCCTGGAGATCATCTACCTGCTGACCGGAGAGGTGAGGAGGATTCTGGGAGGTCACATGACATCACTCTTATCTCTATTAATAAAACACAGACCTGACCGGAGAGGTGAGGAGGATTCTGGGAGGTCACATGACATCACTCTCATCTCTATTAATAAAACACAGACCTGACCGGAGGTGAGGAGGATTCTGGGAGGTCACATGACATCACTCTCATCTCTATTAATAAAACACAGACCTGACCGGAGAGGTGAGGAGGATTCTGGGAGGTCACATGACATCACTCTCATCTCTATTAATAAAACACACAGACCTGACCGAGAGGTGAGGAGGATTCTGGGAGTCTAACACACAGACCTGATGAGGAGGATTCTGGGATTGATATTCCTATTGGTTCCTCAATACAGAGATTTCCTCTTCTGAAGTCAGGTGATGATCATATGACCATCACAGTGCCTCCATGTGACTCCCTAAACCCTGAGAGACACAACATGCAGAAGATTCTAGAAGTCACCAAGAAGATGATGGAGCTGCTGACAGGAGAGGTGAGCGGTGCCGGGAATTCTGGGACATTCTCCAGTAACAGACAAGGGATGTGTCTGGATGGTGACTGTATCATTGTGTGTGTCAGGTTCCTATAAGGTGTCAGGGTGTCACTGTCTATTTCTCCATGGAGGAGTGGGAGTATTTAGAAGGACACAAGGATCTCTACAAGGACGTCATGATGGACAATCAGCCGCCCTCACATCACCGGGTAAGAGGAGACTTTATTGTAAAGGAGAGAGCAGTACGGAGGATCCACCTAGATCCCCCATCATCTGATAAACACATAGAAACAATGGATTCAGTCAGTGTGTGTGTTTCCTACAGATGGATCCAGTCATGGGAACCCACCAGAGAGATGTCCCCGTCCTCTGTATTCCCGGGATTCCACACAGGAAGGTCACACCATCCCTCACCATCATCAGGTAGATGATGAAAATCACTGATAGTATCATTAGTGATCTGTACATTAAGGGTGTTTGTTACATTGAATTTCATTTTTGATTATATATTCAGAGTGGAATCCTCGGGGATGAGATAATAAAGTTGATGGTTAAAGAAGAGATATAAAGGGAGGATGAGGAGTATGGGGTGATGGAGGAGTTTTCAGAAGGAACACAAAGATATGATGGAGCCACCATGGTAATACAGGAACCCACCAGAGAGATGTCCCCGTCCTCTGTATTCCCGGGATTCCACACAGGAAGGTCACACCATCCCTCACTATTACAAGGTTGGTGGGATGGAGCATCTAGAACATGGACTTGAAGAGACAATGTGTGGAGTTTTTTATGTGACCTTATATTTTACAGATGATATTTTCTCTCATTTCCTTGATTTAGAGTGGAGATCCAATCGATATAGAATTTGAGGTGAAAGCAGAAGAAGAAGAGCGTATGTGAGGGATGATCAGCAGTCTATGGAGGAGGATGGAATAACGGGGACATTTATAGAGGAGGACACTCCTACAGAGATCAGCACAGGTGGGTCATGAACACTAAATCCATTCCTCCACCCATACTGCTCACTGATTGGTCCAGAGTAGGGCGGGGACTGGGTGATATCAGCCTGTAATCCCCTGGTCACTTTCCTGAGCTGTGTTCCCCGTCCTGTATTCCTGGATTTCTCTCGGATAATCTTCCTTCTCTGTGCTGCAGACACAATTTATGTATCTAGACTGGATTTATGGAGGTTCTGGGGTTCAGCTGGCAGCAAAATGTTCATTTCACATTACTTGACATAGACACCTGGGACATGTGATTTGGGTCTCCTTCCCCATGCCCGGGTCTAGTAAGATCTCTGACAGAACATTTCTCCCAGGGTTCCTTGCTCTGTGGTCTGCTGGCTGTGCCGGGTGGAGGGATATGTCTGTATAGTGTCTCAGACCCAAGTCACTGAGTGCAGTCTCAGGAGATGGGAGGCAGCGGTGTGGGATCTCTGCAACTTGTCTACAGTAAACATTTAATGTTCCACTGATTACTGAATACCAATATTATGAGTCCTGACCCTTACACTGTATCATTTATATTGTAAATTACATACTCCTGACCCCTGCACTATATACTCTGTTGTACATTACTATGTTGTACATTACATACTCCTGACCCTCCTGCACTATATACTCTATGTTGTACTATATACTGTTATGTTGTACATTACATACTCCTGACCCCTGCACTATATACTCTATGTTGTACATTACACCCCTTATATCTCTATGTTGTACATTACATACTCCTGACCCCTGCACTATATACTCTATGTTGTACATTACATACTCCTGACCCCTGCACTATATACTCTATGTTGTACATTACATACTCCTGACCCCTGCACTATATACTCTATGTTGTACATTACATACTCCTGACCCCTGCACATATACTCTACATTACATACTCCTGACCCCTGCACTATATACTCCTATGTTGTACATTACATACTCCTGACCCCTGCACTATATACTCTATGTTGTACATTCCATACTCCTGACTTCTGCTGTCCCCCTCCCCCCCACTGTTATATATACACATAATATGGATTCTCTTTTGTTCCCCCCATTTCCTCCCAGCTGGACATTTTATATCGGATGATGTGATTGGAGCACAGACTTTTACATGGTGATAATAATGTGATAACATCCTCCAACTTTGGACCCTTAAACAGAAAGTGATAATGAGGGAGGAGTCAATACCCCAATGATGGTGGTCTTCAGGATCAGTCCAGTCTTCATCTTGGTTGTTCTCCCCCCATCCTCACTCTCTGACCTCTGGTGGGGCTCAGCCCCGCTGTTCTTCATGACTAAATCATGGACTAAATAAGGAAGTGCAGTACTTCTTGTGTTGGGAAGATGGCGATGAGTGATAGAGGGGGTGGGGACCCTCGTCCTATAATCCCCTCATCACTGTCCCTCCTATAAAAGACAGTTCTGGTTGTTTCCTCACTCTCTGACTAAGGTCCATGAATAAAGAAATGACCTGGTAGAGATCAGAGGAGCCATTTCCTAGTTCCCTTGAGGGTGGAATTGTAAGCTCCTCAGAGACCAAGCTGCCTGATGTGGGCGGAGTCCTGGTTTGGGGGAACCAATCAGCTCCTGTCTAGTAATCCTCTTTGTCTTTGTATTTTAGTCCATGGCCGGGAGATGAGGAAAACCTCCGAGGATTGTCTCACTTTGTCTCCAGACTGGAAAGTAGAAGATGAGGACATCACACAGTATAGTCCAGGAGAAAACCCGGCTCCCTCCAATGTCCATCCGGCACCACCCAGTGTAGATGGACCATCGGATTCCTCGTATCCTGAGGAACCTCAGACTGTGCGGGACCGGCCGGCCTTCCAACAGGGAAGAGCTTCTCCTGTACTGAGTGTGGGAAGAGGTTCTGTTCTACATACCATCTTAATGTGCATAAAAGATCTCACACGGGGGAGAAGCCGTATTCCTGTCCTGACTGCGGGAAATGTTTTTCACAGAAGTCCATTCTTTACACACATCAGAGATCTCACACAGGAGAGAAGCCGTATTCCTGTCTTGAGTGCGGGAAAAAATTTTTTCACAGAAGTCCCATCTTTACATACATCAAAGATCTCACACGGGGGAGAAGCCATATTCTTGTCCTGAGTGTGGGAAAAGTTTTTCAGATAAATCCAGTCTTTACAGACATCAGAGATCTCACACAGGAGAGAGAAGCCGTATTCCTGTCTTGAGTGCGGGAAATGTTTTTCACTTATGTCAAATCTTTACACACATCAGAGATCTCACACGGGAGAGAAGCCGTATTCCTGTCCCGAGTGCGGGAAATGTTTTTCACAGAAGTCCCATCTTTCCAGCCATCAGCGATCTCATGCGACGGAGAAGCCACTTTCCTGTCCTTAGTGAGGGAAATGTTCCTCACTGAAGTCCTGTCTTCCTGTACATCAGGGGTCCCACACAACCCTGGAGGTGTATTAGTGCCTTGAGTGCGGGAAATGTCTTCTAGATGAATGTTGCTGGACATCCCAGCTCTCATGTGGGGAAGAAGCACACCCTGATATACACCTCAGATATACTCCATGGTGATCTTCATCATGGAAGAAACAGTTCATAAGGAGATCAGAGGTCCCCAAAGACATGGATGAAGTGTGGGACCGGGTTGGCCATTGATAGCAGAAAAAGAATAAAAATGGTGTCATGACCTTTCATTGGCTGAGTACATTTTGTGGTGGGAGATTTCACAAACATTTAGAGGTCTATTTAAAAAAAAAAAAAAAAAAGATTTAGTTGAACGAATGTGACCGGCATTCGCCCAGCTGGGTTGAATATTGGCCGTATTTTATTTCATACTCTGATTTTCTTGGCTCCATCTAGTGGCCATAATGCAGTATTGAGATACTTTTACTGATTGAGGTATTTCATGAATAATACCTCATTATTATGGTCACTAGATGGAGCTGACGGTCATAGGAAATCAATGTGTTACATTTTTAAATATTAATTTTTATCATATTCGTCCAATGAATTTTCTTTCAGCAGACCCCTTCATTTCCTTCTTCAGGCATGGATTCATACTAACAGCACACGCCAATTAGGCCACAACATGCTATTATCAGACCACCCATTATTTGTCTCAATCTTCCTAGGCCGGGTATCCATCCAAATACCCCGTCCCACCAATTACCAGGAACATCCTGTTTAATTCCTGAGGACAAGTCATGTAAAGCCTTTATGTGTGATTGTATAGAGGTGGCATGATCACTTACATTCCGTCACAATGTTCCCAACCATGATCATTGTTAAGCAGTAAATCATCTATAGTCACTGGATTCTGAAGAACAGCTTTACGGGTTCCTTGGAGGTGGAGTAAACAGTTCCTGCAAAGCCATAGAAGTACGATTCAGACTTTTATCCAGACTACATACAATAGATCCAACTAAACTAGTGTATTCAGCTTTGGAAAGCAGTGTAATGTCTGATATACAATCTTCTGATACAATCTCGGTCCTCCTTCTTGATCTTAGATCCTTCTCCATAGCTTTAGGATGCTCAGGCAATATCATACTCAGACGGCTCCAAGTACAAGGCCCTCCAGTAATATTCCTGGAATATATGAATATGTGGGATTTTCCACAAGAAAACAACCATCCTAAAGGTAGTGTGACCTGTGACTGTGGCTGGGCTGTGATAGAACATGATGACAGCTCATTGGGTTATGTACTGAACTACATGTTCTATTAGACGTACAGAAAATCCTGTCCTGAGGAGATCGGGTTGTGTGATGTGGGCCATATGGAAATCTGAGATCCCAACACCGGGGAATCTCTTCAGAATCACATGTCATATTGTAACACATCTCCTGGGGGAACATTCAACGTTTTCATACCAGTCATATATTCCAGCCTTTATATGGACCTGGACAGTTCTGACAGTCCTCATACAATGACATAGATGGTCCATCATCCATTCTTACATCAGTATCATTAGTCATTACTCCTGAAAATGTCCAACAAAACCGAGGTTGGGGTGGGAATGGCCATCAAACATGTAGCTAAATGATCGGCAGCATCTCTGACAGATGGAAATTGGAACATTCATCACTCTCCTTGCCATATAAACCCAGACATTCTATGATTGATTTAACAGTTTACATGGATGTCTGTGTTGGGGCAAGGGTCAGTCTTATGAGGCTGCGGGCAAATGTACATCAAGTCCTGCAGGTGATAATAACGTACTAATCACCCAAATCAGAGAAACACAATCACTGTAAGACAACCTATTAAAAGGAAGATTTTCAAGAGGTTTATGGATGCAAAAGTATGGACATCTGATTAGTTATCGGTCTGTCTGTCTTCTACTGGAACTATATCACCTACTTCTCTCTCTAACACGTCTGCTTCAGGGTGTTCGACACCTTCTTCACCCTCTTTGTAGTCAACACCTCAGGTGGAAGGGAATCCAGGACTTTCTTTACCCTTGACACATGGATCCAGGCCTGCGAATCCAGAGTCAGAACTGCTGTACGGGTCACGGCTGTTATCACTGTGGGCTCCCCATAAGGTGGGTCCAGGACCTTGTGCTTATGTAGGGCTTTAACAACCACATGGTCTCCAGGCATGAAAGGATGTGTTGGTTCCTGTGAGGGAAGCAGAAAAGAAAGAGAAACATCACCGTAGATGCCATTCAAAAGCCTTATACGATTCATCACATATGTTTCTTGGATCAGCTCTAATTTCTCCAGGCATAATCACCAGCAGACCTTTGGTCCATGGGGTAGGAAATGGTCTGTCTATTAAAATTTCAGAAGGTGACAATTTAGTTGTTTTGTTTGGTGTCATCCTGATTTCAGCCAACACTGCGGCAGATAAGTCTCCCACTTAACAAATGTACCTCCAGTAGCTTTCCTCAACTCTCCTTAATCATCCTGTTCATCCTCTCTACCATTCCTGAACTCTGTGGGTGATAAGGGATGTGAAATTTCCATTGAATAACCATTCATTTGGCTACCTGTTGAGTCACTTTGGATGTGAATGATGGGCCCTTGTCTGAATCAATCACCAGAGGGCATCTCCATCTTGAGATAATTTCCTTGCACAACATTTTGGCCACAGTGGACGCATCCTCTTTGTTAGTGATAAAAACCTCCGGCCATTTTGAAAATGTATCACTATAACTAGCAAATACTTACCTCTCTTGTTAGGCATGTGTGTAAAATCAATCTGTAATTCCTCAAAAGGACCCTGTGGTGGAGGAAGATGGTCATGTTGGCCATACTGTTGTCCTGTATTATTGTTCCTCAAATAACACACCTTCCTAACTGATCTTGCACCCGTTGGACAAATTCTGTATACAAAATGTTTTTTCATTTCCTGCAAAGTCCTCTGCCATCCTCTGTGCCCTATGCCATGAAACTGTGCTATAAGCACCGGTGCACTGTGCTGAGGTATCCCTATGATCCCCTCTTTGGACATCAGACCGTTCTGGTCCAATGTCAAACCTTTGTCTTTCCAGTATTGAATAACCTTTTAGTGCTGTGTACAATTCTTTGAGTAACTGTTGTTCCGGGAGCATGGGCGGCTCTAACATAGTCAAAACAAGGCTGGCAGACTCCTGTGAAGACTGCAAAGCAGCTTCCTTGGCCGTACGGTCAGCCAATGCATTACCCAGAGCTATGGGGTCATGTGAAGATGTGTGGGCTTTACATGTGATACCAGCAATAGTACGGGGCTTGTGTATGGCTTCCAAAAGATCATTCACTAAAGATGCATGAGATCCCCTGCCAAATCTTGCCAAAATCCTGCACTACACCAAATGTGTACTTGGAATCTGTGTAAATGTTAACATCTTTCCTTCAAATAATTCACAGACACAGGTCAGGGCTATGAGTTCTGCAGCCTGTGCTGAGATAAGGCAGGGCTTTGCTTCCCATACCTTATCTGGGAGTTGAACGACCGCAACCTGCTAAGTAGACATTGTCATTAGGTCTTGTACATGAACCATCTACAAAGATATCAACATTCCCTTCTACTGGCTCTTCCAACATGTCAGCTCTGGGAGTAGTGTTCTTCATGTATAAACTGGAACACAATCATGTTCCTCGGGAGGAATGTCAGATTCTGACTTCAAACCAAGCATGCCATTTAAAACAGCAATTGGTCCTGAACTTGGAGAGGAGTATTTGATAGATAAATGAACAGTGGAAGTGAGAATGACCTCATACAAACTGGCTCTTGGGGCTGTCATGAGTTGTGTGGGAAGATTCTTCAGAATTTGTAAATACGTGATGTGTAGGTATGTAACGGTGTTATGTCCCAATGTCAATAGCCATAGATGCCTCCACTCCCATTTTTCTATCCCTGCATGACTGCCTGTAATATACAGTGGGGATCGAAAGTTTGGGCACCCCAGCTAAAAATTTGTATTAATGTGCATAAAGAAGCCAAGGAAAGATGGAAAAATCTCCAAAAGGCATCAAATTACAGATTAGACATTCTTATAATATGTCAACAAAATTTAGATTTTTATTTCCATCATTTACACTTTCAAAATAACAGAAAACAAAAAAAAAGCGTCTGCAAAAGTTTGGGCACCCTGCAGAGTTAATATCTTGTACTGCCCCCTTTGGCAAGTATCACAGCTTGTAAACGCTTTTTGTAGCCAGCCAAGAGTCTTTCAATTCTTGTTTGAGGTATCTTTGCCCATCATCTTCCTTACAAAAGTCTTCCAGTTCTTTGAGATTTCTGGGCTGTCTGTCACGCACTGCTCTTTTAAGGTCTATCCATAGATTTTCAATGATGTTGAGGTCAGGAGATTGTGAAGGCCATGGCAAAACCTTCAGTTTACGCCTCTTGATGTAATCCCCCGTGGATTTCCAGGTGTGTTTAGGATCATTATCCATTTGTAGAAAGCCATCCTCTCTTTAACTTCAGCTTTTTCACAGATGGCATCAAGTTACCATCCAAAATTTGCTGAAATTTTATTGAATCCATTTTTCCTTCTACTCGTGAGATGTTCCCTGTGCCACTGGCTGCAACACAACCCCAAAGCATGATTGATCCAACCCCATGCTTCACAGTTGGACAGAGGTTCTTTTCATTAAATTCTGTGCCCCTTCTTCTCCAAACGTACCTTTGCTCATTCCAGCCAAAAAGTTCAATTTTAACCTCATCGGTCCACAGAACTTGTTTCCAAAATGCATCAGGCTTGTATATATGTTCATTTGCAAAGTTCAAACGATGAT